AACACCAAGGACAAAATTCTCGTCCTGCTAATCTCCCTGATCTCAGAATGGAGATTAATCTTTTAAAAGAAGAAATTCGTCAATTAAAGTCTAGCCAGACTAAGATGGATTTGGAGATTACTCTTTTAAAAGCAAAATCTGCGATTCCAACTTCATCATCCAGAGATGAAGTCCCTCAATCAGAAGGTCCTAATTATCTCCAACTCTTGAATCAAGTTACTTACCAAAAATGGTATATCTCTATCAATTTGGTAATTAATCAGGAGTACACAATCACTAATGCAATCGCCTTAGTTGATAGTGGTGCAGACATGAACTGCATACAGGAAGGATTAGTTCCTACTCAATACTTTGAGAAAACCACTCAAGGTCTTACCAGCGCAAGTGGAGGTAAGATGCAGATTAAGTATAAACTTAATCATGTTTTTATTTGTAAAGAAGGTATTTGTCTACCATCTACTTTCTTACTCATCAATTAGAACTAATATTCATGAGGGTCATTGATGTCTGTGGGATCATCAAACTGATCCTTGACAGATTCATTTCCGATTCCCATTTCAGATGGAGTTGGGCTGAATTCAATTCCAAATTGGCGTCGAGACATACCTATTGGTGCTTTCTCGTAGACCCCTCTTGGAATTTGATTCGGAGATTGTTGTATTCCTTTCAGCTTGAGCTTGGAACCAACTGCTTTAGGGAGTTCTTCCTTTCGGTAATCCGACGAGATCGAATGTCGAGAAGGAGGACAAGAAACATGATAAGGAAGGTGACTTCCTTTAGATGATATAGATCTCGATAGATCTATGGATTTTCTGAAATTCAGAAAAACATCACCATCTTGGTCCTGAATAACACAGTCTAAGCTATGATTAGCAATTGGCTGTGCTGGGACGGCATTAGAAATCGTCCAGTGTTCAGGAAATGTTATCTCACTCCAAGGAATCATCCTTTTTGTGGCAATATTTGATGTATACATGTTGGTGTCCCATAACGCTGTCACTCCTTTAGAGTCTTTGCGTATGGCATTGGGACACATAGTATCCAGGACTTTGTAATGGATGCGATAAATAACACTTATCACCTCCGATCCAGGTAAGTAATTATACCCATAAGTCTGAACCCTAAGACTAACGGCCTCATGGATATTCTTATCTGTTAAAGATAAATTCAGACTAGGATAGACATTAAAATAAACCGGTCCATGACATAGACTGGTTTCCAATGCACCCATCAAGGAAGGGTGAAATTTCAGACATCGAGCATCCCTAAGGATTGCTTGAATACAGGCATCCATTCCTAACAAGGTCAAAGGTTTAAAAGCAATTTGAATTAAACCTATATGGATGTATTTATATTTATGCATGTGCCTCTGAAGGTCACGGGAAGACAATAACTTAATTATTGTATCCTTTGTGCTTAATTGCATGGTCTGTTCCATGGTCTTGATAGTCCATAGATCAGCTAAATTAAGCATTCCGATTTTGTAAATGCTTTTTGCACTTACTGGAGGGATAGTCCATCTGTTCAATTTATTTTGAACATTGGTCCATTCCACTATTTCAGCATTTTTTACCAGTTCTGAATCCTGGTTGTCCTGTATTCCTGAAGAGGAGGATGAAGAGGGTGGTAACATGTCTGTTAATTATTATTAATGCTTTACGGTCTGAACAGTATGAATATTATAATATTATATAGGGAACAGTAAGTTACTATTCTGTCGTCTTTCTGCTTAAGATAGATTCTATTACTCGTCTGTCAACGATTTACTGGAAACAATACCCTGTGCATTATATATTAATAATAATAATAATAAATTTAAGCATTATACTAATAATAACAACAACAATAAGAAGAAGAAGAAGAATAATAATAATAATTATTATTATTATAAGAATAAGAATAATAATAATTATAATAACAACAATATCTGTTCCATGGACTTTATTGTCCATTCATCTGTAACTTCATTATATAATATTATAATAAAAATAAGAATAAACAATAATATTATTATAATTTACTATTCATTATATAATATTAAATAAGAATAAGAATAAGAATAAAAACAATAATAATAATAAGAAGAAGAACAACAACAACAACAACAATAACAATAATAATAAAAATAATAAAATACATTTTCATTACCTACATTTTTCAACTTAATGCTCTTAAATCTTGTTTTCACTGTAGTTATTTTTTAATTCACTATAGTTATTTTTTAATTCAATTCTCATAATTTCATTTATTTTTTGAACTCTAACACCCTTAAAAAACTTTTTCACATTACATTTATTATTCTATTTCAATAACCTTGAATTTTTTCTCATCATAATTATTTTTCAATTCAATGCTCTTAATTTGATAAATAATTTAATATTAACTTAGTTTTTAGTAATTTTTTTTTAATAAAATAAATAAAATTATAAAATTATTTAAAATTCAAGCAGCCCCACTCTAAAATTATTTAAAATAAAACAGGCAAGGTCCAGTTTTTTTTTTTTTTTTTTTCGTCCTCATCCGCGTATGTATATATAAAAACAAAGAAAAATGATAGGTCTTCCGATTAAAATTGACGACTCATCCTCCGAATACAATGTGATTGGATGACATTAGAACTCTTAAAACAAAATTTCGTAAATATCTTTTTCTTTTCGACTCATTCCCAACCACGTTATATTCGGAGGATGAGTCGTCAATTGAGATCGAAAGATATATCACTTCTCAAAAACAAAAAGGTCTACTACACCCATCATACAAAGAGCAGTGAATGAGATCGAAAGAAGATAGAACAGAAGAGATGGAGTAGAGAGAGAAATGTGTCTAAAAAAAAAAACATTAAAAAAAATGTGAGAGAGAGAGAGAGTAATACATTTTGTATAGCGCCGTAATATAAATAATAAAAGAATAATAAAATTGAAAAATAAGTAAGAAAGTTTTAAAGTTAAATTTTAAATGCTGAAGTTTTTAACCGGTAATAAAAAATAAATATTTAAAAAATTTCAACATTTATGATAACTGATGACCTTGTCACTTAAAATTTCAAATGCACTTAATTGAATAAACACTTAATTTGTTCAGAATTAAAAGCTAAATTAGTGATCAAACAGCATCTTAGATTCTTAGCCGTGAAATATATTACTGTATATCATGGTCATTGATGTGAACCAATAATTTTAACATGTTCTTTTTAATTATTAAATCTGGTGGGTACAAATTCACATATTAAATCGTAGATGATCTGAGTTGATTACCATATTTGATTTGATAGTAAAAAAAAGAACGCATCCATTTGTTATTTCTCAACATTAAAATATTGTACATCTTATGTTGTAAATGGACACCCTATCTCCCACAGAATTATCGGAGTAGAACTTTATAAAAAACACAATTATGTTGTGTTTGGTGTACATGAATGAAATGGAATGCCCATTCCAACCATTCATTTATTTGATATGTAATTTAAAGTGGAAATGGTTATTCCATTGGAATGTAAATCCATTCCACAACTAAACCTATAAAATGACCATTCCATTCTTAAGTAGTTTTTTTTTTAAAATCAATTTCCCAAAAAACTTTCATGTTCAAAGTCCAAAAATCACCACTACCTTCCACCACAACCTTCTCCACCTCTCACCACCGACTTCCACCATTACCACCGTTTTCCACTACCATTTTGCCATCAACTTTCACCAGTGCCCACCGCTTCCCACCACCACCGCCGCCATCACCATCGCCTCTCACCACAACCACTACCTTCCACCACCACCTTCGCCACCGTTACCTTTCACCATCGCTACTGTCTTCCATCATCGTCGCTGCCTTTCATCATCACCATCGTCCTCGCATTCCACCACTGCCGCCACTGTCACATCCTTTCACCGCCACCGCCACCACCATTGTCACCACCTTCCACCACGGCTTTCACCGGCTACCGCCATTGCCATCGACTTCCACCACCACCGCCACCTTTTCCACCACTACCACCTCCATTGCCTTCTATCACTGCCTTCCTCCACCATCACCTGCACCACTATCTCCTTCCACCACCACCACCACACTACTGCCACCGCCTTCCACCAACACTGCCCTCCACCATTGCCACCATTTATTTTTTTTAAAAATTATACAAAAATGTTATTTTGTTAATTTAATTTATTTGTTACTAAGAGGGATATTTTGAAAAACTTAATTTAAAATTTATTCAATTCCGAATTTAAAATTGGTGCAACTAAATATTGGAATGGTTATTATCATTATTGTATTCCATTCCATTCCATTCCCGTTTGCATTCCATTACATTCCTACACTCGGTACGATGCACGCGCACACAATATATCCAGCGATCGCGACTACTTTATCTTTATGTAGGGTTGCAACCGGCCGTGTTTGAGGTATAACTTGAGCCCAACCCACCATATGAAATGCTAAACCCAAACTCGTCCTTAACCCTATCATCAACTTTAATTACTTAACCCGAGCCTATCTCATCATTCTACTTTTAAATTCGAGTTTATAACTTTGCCTTCGATTATGGGTTAAAACTTCGGTTAATTCAGGTTACTCAAATGACTAATCTTTTATATCGAAAATTTAATATGATCTTGAATTGGTTTTAGATTAAAGTACTCTTACACAAAAAGAAGTTTAAAGACTTTTTATAAATTTTTAATAAATTAAAAATAAATTTTTTAAAAATTAATTATCCTAAATGCTAACATACAATAAGTTAAAATTTAACAAAAAAAAAAAAATGATATTAAAACTCGGGTTCGAATTGGCTCGGTTGCTAGCACTTCAACCAAGTTGAAAATTAAATTAAATTAGAGTTAGAAAATTTTCAATCCAAGTTGAACCCTAATTATAAAAATGATCGTCCAAATCATAAAAAATTGGGTTGAGCCCGATTTGGATTCGGGTTACTCAATCCACATTGCACCCGTGATACAAGGTCGAGGCAGCACAGCATCGTTGTCTTATAAAAATAAGATAATAGTCGACACTTTTTTCGACCGGCTCCTATTTTTATAAGATACAGAGTAATAGTGAAATCCAGCTTTGACTCATGTATGGAAAACCTGGGATACCTGCTTCTCTCTCGCATTGTAGGTTTGAATCCTTCTCCGTAAAACTCAATACTCCATATTTAGCGATCAGATCTATACTGAGATCTGGTAGATCCCATCTCTAATTGTGTTTTTTTGTTTATTCAATCTCTTCTTGATTTTAGGAAATCGACGTGCGAAATTAATAAGCTTGAAACATGATTCAGAAAATGGATCAAGTATTCTTCTGGATCAAGTATATGTCAGATTTTGAGCAAGGAGGCATTCTGCCTTTGTACAATCAACTGAGGCCTCCCCGGCTCATGAAATGAGTAAGGTAGGGCTTCCACTTATCGATCCCTTTGTATACTTTTTTTGTTCTAGATGGAACTGAGTTTTGCTTTATGCATGTGTGTATATATGTTCCTTTCAATTCATTGATTTCTTTTTGTTTATTGAATTCCATTCTTTATGGAATAGACGGGGAAATAAATAAAAAAGTTGGAGACTTTTTTCAGAAATAGATTTATCCCGCTGCCCCCGACTCCTACGGGTAGATTTAGTCAAGTCTTAAAAAAACAAGCAGAATCATTCATAGAAGATCTAGTTTTGGATCTTTATGAAGTTTTTTTTTTGTATATTCCATTTTATTGGTAAGTTTCAAAATGTTTAGAATTTTGTTCATCATTTTTTTTTTTTATTTTTTATTAAAAAATTTCTATTTTCTTTTCTAGATTCATGTTGGTTAGATTACAAAGATGGGTTGAGCAAATTAGACCTTCGACCTCCTCTGGTGGGAGAGGTCAGCATACATTTTGAGTTAAAAATGGATAGAAGATCGGAAGCCAGTTAGAAAATGTTCTTCTAGCTAATATATAAAAAAAGCTCAACCCAATTAATCCGGGGAAAAAAAGATAGTGCTTAAAATTCAAAAAGATTTCAAAAATAGAATATGTTATTTTTAATTACCACTTAAAAACTTCTGCTATTAAAATCTTGTTCTTAAAATTTTCATTATATTATATAAATATCATATATTTGATTCAGTTTGTATTAGTCAAACAAAAAAACAGAGCTTGTTTCCTCTTTTTTTACTGATTAAAACACACCTTGCCTAACTAATTATTATTGTTTTACACACATATATATATATCAATATCTTATATATCTTGTGAAATGGGAGAGAGTGTGCACCCTGATTCAAAGAGGAAGCTTGGGGCTTCGCAGGTTGGAAATGTTTAACAAAGCTCTGTTAGGGAAATGGCTATGGAGATTTGGCTGCGAAAGGCCCGTGCTTTGGAGACGTGTTATTGCTTGTTGGTTTGGGGAAGAGGAGGGAGGTTGGATGTCTAGAGGTGTGTCTTCATAAGCAGGTATGGTTTCATGGAAAGGGATTAGGAGGTGTTGGGATGAATTCTCTAAGCGGATACGGTTTAGAGTTAGGAATGGTCGTTATGTGAGGTTTTGGATGGATGTTTGGTGTGGGGATGTGGTGTTGGCTTGTAGGTTTCCTAGACTTTTTAGGATGGTTGAGGAGAAACATGTGGTGGTGGCAGATTATTTTAGGCTAGAGAATGGGAGGGCAAGTTGGGATGTGAGATTTCGTAGAAATTTTAATGATTGGGAGTTGCTGCAGTTTACCGATTTAATGGGATTAATTTATAATCAAGTGGTGGAGGGGGAAGGAAGGGATGAGATGGTGTGGATGGGGGATTCTAGAGGGGTGTTTGAGGTGAGGCTATTTTATTAAAGTCTTACGAATTTGATAAGCAACGGTTTCCCTTGGAAGGCTGTATGGAGGACTTTAAGTCCACTGAAGGTGGCTTTTTTCACGTGGACAGCGGTGCTTGGTAGCATTCTTACTCTTGACAATCTCATAAAAAGACGCCAAATAATAGTTAATTGGTGTTGCATGTGCAAGAAGGCGGGCGAATCGGTTAATCATCTCTTGCTGCACTGTAAAGTGGCAGCGGATGTGTGGAGTTTGGTCTTGAATGTTTTTGGGGTAGACTGGGTGGTGTCGAGTAACACGATGGATATGTTAGAGGCTTGGAGAGGGACCAATGGGCAGTCGGGTTAGGAAGGTGTGGAGGGTTGCACCTCTTTGTATTTGGTGGGGGCTGTGGCACGAGTGGAACAGGAGATCTTTGTATTTTATTTTAAGAAGCTAATAAAATAATATTTTTTAATTTATATATATAAAAAGCTAATACTTACTGCTAATTTTTTTTTTTTTAAAACTTGGAAGAATATTCAATTATCATGAATGCCTAAATAATGCATTCTGTCCGCACATGCCCTTTTTCCTCATTCCTGAATGTTTTCACTTGATGATTTTCAGTGTTGTGTTGAAGCACAGCTCTGTATTGGGACATTTTGCGTGGGCTTTAGTTGTGACAATTAACACAATACCCAACAAAAAGACTTACAAATAGGTATAATCACTTTTTCCAAAAACTGCTTCTACCTGCTCTTCTATGAGTTGATATAGTCGATCAGGAAAAGTTTCTGGTGTGTGAGTTATAAAAGTAAAAGTTATTTACTTTTATATCAAAATTAGAGGAAAAAAAAAAAAAAAAACCAGCTTCAGTACACTTCTATTACGTTTAAGCCCAACTTTTAGTATAATTCAAGAAAAGGCCAACCTAGAAGACCAGTCCCTCCTACAAGGAAAGGGTTGCTGGATAAATGAGTAATCCCAAGTCAGGTCTTGAGAATACTCAGGTCTTAATGGTTGCATCTTTTATTTGAAATCATTACCTTTTGCTTGGTGCTACAGTCTATTTGTTGAGGGCCGGTTGAAGAATTACTGAAGTTAATTCAAGCCTATCCTGAATATATTTGATTTATATGCCATTTTGTCTACCTTCTCATTCTTGCAAATCACTGGTTAATCTATGTTTGATATGCCATTATGTCTACCTTCTCATTTCTAGAATTTTAAGTCTGGTGCTTATACTTTTTTTGTAGGTAAATAAGTTTAGTGCTTCTACGGGTTTGCCAAATGTCATTTTTTCTGGTTTCAAATTCACCACATCTTACAACTCGTGATTTTTTAGTGGTTGACAGAGGTGGGGAAGATGCTTTCTTTGCGAGCAGCTACAATGGAGGAGTCATTGCTGTTGCTGATGGCGTTTCTGGGTATGCAGATTTAGTTTGAAAGAAGTATCTACACTTACTATTTTTTTTTTTGGTTATGAATAAGAAGTTCAAATTTACAGTCTCTTTCTATATTGGAAATATTCAGTTTGTATTGGATCATATATGATTCAGTTTGTGTTAGTCAAACAAAAAAATAGAGCATGTTTCCACTTTTTTACTGATTAAAACACTCCTTGCCTAATAATTGATATTGTTTTGCATGAATGTATGTTGTGAATCATCCATTAAGACTACTAAAGAGGAGTAACACAAGGAAAAAGATAGCAGACTGATATCTGCCTTGACCTTCTTGTTGCCTTAAACACTTCTCCACCTTTCACAAATTTTCATTCTAATTTTTTTTCGAAGAAAACCATTGAAGCTATATTTTGGAGCACCGATATAGACATTTGTATTGACTCACATAGAATTCGGAACGTTTAGGCATATCTTGGAACTTACAAAATGTTAGAGAGGAGGATGCTCATGAGTATATGGTAAATATGTTGTGTTTTTTTTTTTTTCCTCGAAAAGTTAAGCAATTATATAGATGAAAAATGATATGTACATGGATGGGCTATGCAAACACCAGCCCAAAAGAGAAAAGGAAACAAAAATGTCCAACAAAATATTTGGACCAGTGGACAAGACCATAAGGGCAAACAGGCCGCAAAGATAGACAAAACAAAAAACCAAATCAAATAGCCGTTCTAACGGCTGGCTGTTCAGATCTGGTTGAGGCAAAACAGAGCTCAAACAAGAGTGAGTTCTGAGTCTGAGTCATGTGAATGAGGAGGCCTTGGAGGAGGACGAAGGCACGAAGTATTTAAGCCCCAATCTTGAATGGTTCTTTTGGATTGAGGTGAACTGATCAAGGAACACGAGTGAATTTTCAGGGACACTGTTTGGATGACCCTTTGAAGCACTGTGTTTTGGGAACATCTTTCTCCACGAAACAACCTTGCATTTCTTTCTGACCATAAGTGGTAGACCAGAGAGGCCAGGGCGAGTTTGCAGATGCCATTTGGGATAGTTTGGGCCTTCCAATGGATGGAGCACCATTGACCAAGGGAAATCCAATTATCAGGGCAAATATAGAATCCACATTTGTCTTGAATGAAGAGCTGTAGGGGTTTAGCAAATGCACATTTGAAGAAGAGATATGAATGGTTTGCAGGCTCAGTGAGGCAGAGGGGGCATGTAATTGGGGTTTGAAGGAAGTTGTGTAATTTTTGGTCACGCGTGGATGGTGGGGGGGATGGCCTTATATGTGTGCCTCAGTGAGGAAGGTTCCATTTGGTGAGAGGATCCAAATGGGGGTGTCATGGGAAGGAGAGGGAATGTGGATGGAAGGGATTTCATGGTTAAGGGATTGCAGAGGTTGAGTCAAACACCAAGAATTCCTTGTGATGAGAGCTTGTACCTTGGACTGTTTTGATAACCACATAGAAGAAAGGCCGCTTTCATTGTATCTGTCACGTATTGGGCCATTGGTTAGCCATCTATCATGCCAAAGATAGAAGAGCCATTGCCCCGCCCTCCATTTGATGATATTCTTTGCTAAAGCCCTAGCAGCAGATGTACGTTCCAGCAGTAAGAACTATTTTTAACAACCTTTAAATCTCAGAGGCATTGATCTTTGATGAGGTATGTTTTTCCAATTTTACCGATATACTTTGCTTTTTATCTTCAATAATTGCCCATAGATGCCTAATGTCACGCCCCGCCTATGGAGGTTGTGCCACGCAGGCGACACGCAGACGCTGAGGAGGACGCTGCATGGCAACTGCATAGCAAGTGGAGTTTCTAGAGTCTTCCGGAGTAATCTAGAGTTCTGTGGAAGATTCTAGATATGTGTAGTATATTCTAAAAGTGTGTGGAAGGTTCTAGAATTCTCCAGAATTGTGTGGAGTAGTATGAAGGGTTCTAGAATGTTGTAGATATGTATGGAGATGTGTAGAAGGTGGAAGAAGATTCTAGAGAATCAATCTCCACCATTGGTTAGAATGCATCCTAGCCATCCATTAAGGATGGGAATGCCTATAAATAAGAGTAGGACTTCATTTTGTAACCAACAAGTCCTAGAGTGAGTCTTGAGAGCCTTGTAGAGAGCTTGAGTGCTAGCCTTGCACAAAGCATTCTTTGAAGTAATAGAAGTGTTCTTTCCTTGCCAACTTAAGTGCCTTAGTGTGTGTGAGTGTGCAAGCCAAGTGAGGAGAGGGCGAGGGCAACTACAACACTAGTAAGCGCACGAGGGGAGTGTGTTGGCTAAGGTGTGCACGGGAGTTAGGCTGACCAAGTACTTGCGAGAGTGGAAGCAACGTCTTGGTGCCGCACGGGAGCAGCTAGAGTGGTGCTGAAATTCTAAGCCCGTGACAGTTGGTATCAGAGCAAGTTCGCCAAGGGAGCTTTGTTGGAGTAGACATGGCTAGCGGAGGAGACCACCAAGTCCACATCTTAGAGCAGAGCTTGGAGGAGAAGCTTGCCACACATTTGGTCTACACGGAGACCAAGTTTAATAGGCTCGAGAGAAGGATGGCGGAGCTCTACGAGCTGATTGATGGCATCGCCAACAAGGTGCAAGAGAAAGAAAGGGACTTGCATGATCGGGTAGACGACTTGCGCATGGAGATTGCCGAGTGTAAGAAGGAATTCTCCCAGGCGCGCGAGGTCGTAGTGAAGCCAAGGAAGAAGAAGGCGCCGGAGCCCAAGGAGTACGACGGGGCAAGGAATGCGCGCCAGATTGACAACTTCTTCTGGCACATGGAGCGGTACTTCGAGTGCATGGAGATCGAGGATGATGAGGAGAAGGTGCAGACAGGCACTATGTACCTCACGGACACTGCCACTCTATGGTGGAGGCAGCGCTTCACTGGTAGAGGCGCAAGAGCAGTTGACACATGGGAGGAGTTCAAGAGGCAGCTCAAGAGGTAGTTCTACCCTGAGTGCGTTGAGGACCTGGCCATGATCAACCTAAGGCGCCTGAAGCAGAAGGGCAGCATAAGGGAGTATGTGAAGGAGTACTCCAACTTGATGCTGGAGATCCCAGAGATGCCAGAGCGGCAACGCGTGTGCTTGTTCATTGATGGGTTGCAGTCTTGGGTGGCTACGGAGCTGAGGAGGAGGGAGCCTAGAGACTTGGCATCCGCAATGGCTATAGCGGAGCGCCTTGAAGACTTTAGGCGCGATGACAAGAAGGCCACGTCTCCCAGGAGGGACCACGGCAAATGTGGGGGAGACCAGCGCTTTAAGAAACGGGGCTCGCCCAAGTCTAGTGATGATGAGCACAGCGATGAGGAGAGACGCCCACGCCATGATAAGGGCAAGGACCATGGAGAGAGGTCCAAGGCTAGTGGCAAATGGGAGCGCCGCGATAAGGGTAAGTGGGAGCCGAAGTGCTACTTGTGCGAAGGGCCGCACATATTGCGACACTGCCCCAACAAGAAGACCATGAGCGCCCTTGTGAAGGATAAGGGCAAGGGCAGGGTGGACGATGCGAGCAGCGATGAAGATAGGTGCATAGGGGCTACGCAGATGCTGAGTAGCATAGCGCATGACACCAAGAAGAAGGGCAAGGCAAAGAAGGTAGCTGGGGTGCGCTATGTGGATGCGCAGGTTGGTGGCAAAGCTGTGCAAGCGTTGGTAGACACGGGCGCTACACACAACTTCATTACCCCGGAGGAGGCGCAACGACTTGGCTTGGAGATGCGCAAGACGGAGGGCTGGATCAAGGCCGTTAACTTCGAGGAGGCACGCATGAGTAGAGTGTGCAAGGAGGTGGAGCTATGCATGCAAAGATGGAAGGGCAAGGCTGACTTCCAGGTTGCGGAGATGGACGACCACGACATGGTGCTGGGGCTGGAGTTCATGGACAGGAACAACGCCGCGCCACTACCATGCCTTGGTGCGTTGATGATACTTGAAGGCGAGGAAGGCAAGGCCGCATGCATGGTGCTGCTCGTGGGCAGGAAGGATAGTCCAGAGGTGGCAGTCAACACGATGGAGCTCGTGAGGACTTCACATCTCCCAAAGGGCGCTCGTACGTTTGGGCCAAGGACATATGCGCAAGTGCTGATGACCTGCGAGAGGCTGGGTCAGCTGAAGAAACCGTGACGAGGGCGTCACGGAAATGGGTGGGGGAGAATGTCACGCCCCGCCTATGGAGGTTGTGCCACGCAGGCGACACGCAGACGCTAAGGAGGACGCTGCATGGTAACTGCATAGCAAGTGGAGTTTCTAGAGTCTTCCGGAGTAATCTAGAGTTCTGTGGAAGATTCTAGATATGTGTAGTATATTCTAGAAGTGTGTGGAAGGTTCTAGAATTCTCCAGAATTGTGTGGAGTAGTATGGAGGGTTCTAGAATGTTGTAGATATGTATGGAGATGTGTAGAAGGTGGAAGAAGATTCTAGAGAATCAATCTCCACCATTGGTTAGAATGCATCCAAGCCATCCATTAGGGATGGGAATGCCTATAAATAGGAGTAGGACTTCATTTTGTAACCAACAAGTCCTAGAGTGAGTCTTGAGAGCCTTGTAGAGAGCTTGAGTGCTAGCCTTGCACAAAGCATTCTTTGAAGTAATAGAAGTGTTATTTTCTTGCCAACTTAAGTGCCTTAGTGTGTGTGAGTGTGCAAGCCAAGTGAGGAGAGGGCGAGGGCAACTACAACACTAGTAAGCACACGAGGGGAGTGTGTTGGCTAAGGTGTGCACGGGAGTTAGGCTGACCAAGTACTTGCGAGAGTGGAAGCAACGTCTTGGTGCCGCACGGGAGCAGCTAGAGTGGTGCTGAAACTCAGCCCGTGACACTAAGCATGCTTGCCTTGTTAGAAATTTCAATGTTTGGGAGGCCAAGCCCTCCCTCTTTCTTTGGTTTGCAAATAGAAGTCCAAGCAATCTTTGCTCCATATTTTTTGATCTCAGTCCCTCACCATAAAAACCTCCTGAAAACACAGTTGAGCTCCATGATGACACTTTCTGGAAGAACAAAAATGCTAGACCA